CTAATCTCCATCCATGTGTTACTCCATCTCTAATCTCCATCCGTGTGTTACTCCATTTCTAATCTCCATCTGTGTGCCTCTCCAACTCTAACTCTCTCCCTTTTGACTGTAAGATGCACTTTGAACCTCATGTCTTTTCCTTGCCTGTCCCACTATGCCTGATGATGCTGTGAGGAAGGGGTTTGGGAGGTTTTGCTTGACTAGGGGGTGCTAGATAAATAAAAGTTGTTGGTGGTGACCTGGGGACAGTGTTCGATGTCATCAGTTAGAGGCCGTGTGGGTGAAATGCACAGGGAGTGAATCTAACTGGACTCCAGGTGAAGTCCATGAAATAATTATTGCTGCCTTCCATTTCATGGAGCCTGTCTTGTCCTTTCCACCCTCTCCCACCTCTCCCCCCCCAACTTCCATTGCCATTCTGCCACATCCCCTCCCCTACCCCCTCGGACCTGGTTAGTTGGACAGGAAATCGATGGAAGCTCTCACGGATTGTGAGGTGGCTACATCCAGGGCAGTGACGCGGATCTCGGTATCTCCGAACTGCATGCTGGTGCGGATCTCCCGCCTCTGTCTCCTGGAGCTCACATTCTCTGTTTCCAGCAGCTCCAAGCTGACCGTGCCGCACTTGCGTACCTCTGGGTCAGTGATGTAGTGGACATTGTCTTCACTGCTGCAGTAAACGTTAATGATAATCTTCCGTTGCCCCGGCCGGGCAGGAGTGTAGCTACGCTGTACCACCTCACCCAGCGACACAGACTGATCCACAGACACAAACCTGTCGAAGATGTCAGTGCACCATTGGGTGCCATCCTTGACCAGCAACTTCTCCTTCGCATGCTTCCCCTCCACAAACTTGTTGAGGACACCGACCCCGTAGGTCAGAGGTGAACGCCTGACCCTGACGATGGTAGGGTCCAGGCCAAAGAGCACGGCTCCTTTGAGAATGGTCAGGCCCACGTCTTGGGGAATGATGACTCGGCAACAATGGCTGAAAGCCTGTTGGACAGCAAGCTGCAGAATGGGAGACTCGGCAAATCCACCCACCAAAAACAGGAACTTCACCCCACACACTTCCGGCCTCTTCATCAGGGTCTCTGTAAAAGGCAGCAAGAGGGAGGCTCCGTTTCAGGGCATCCTCTCGTATGTCGCAACAAACGCTCAGCGTTAAGTGACGGTGTGACTCTGTAAACACTGGGGGTAACTGAGAGTGAGGGCAGTGACTCTGTTACTCAGTGATGAGAGTGAGAGTGAGAGCAGTGACTCTGTTACTCAGCAATGAGAGTGAGAGTGAGAGCAGTGACTCTGTTACTCAGCGATGAGAGTGAGAGTGAGAGCAGTGA